TGGTCTAGTGGAAGGTGTCCCTGTCCATAGCAGGAGGTTGGAATGAGATGAGCTTTAAGGTCCCTCCCAATCCAAACCATTCCAAGACTCTATGATTTTATGTCTGTTGGAGCCCAACTCCTATTTGGCTCCAGTGAGAGTTAAGCACTTGGGACCTCCAAGAGCAGCTGTAAGCAGAAGTAGCCTCATTGCTGCTGTGAGTAAATACAGAGAAAAGTGTGTGTGTGTGCGCGTGCGTGTACCAAGTTGGGAACAGTCTCCTACCGGAAGTTATTTGATCCATTATTAATGACTGAAATTTAAATTGTTTAATGTATTTATTGTTATTATATGCTATTATCGCACCCATGATGAGACGCCTGTATCTCACCAGCTGAGCCTTTCTCCTCCAGCTCAAGGGACACGGTTTTCCTACCTTTGGATAGAGGTGCCCACAGGTACCTCCTGCAGCCCCTTTGGGTGGGAGATGGGGGTAGGACATGTTCGGGACAAGCAGCAGTGGGACATAGCCCTGGGGCACCATCACGTCCTGGACACCACGATGGGGAGAGCTGGGCAGCAGAAATCAAAACCCTCTTCTCCCAGGGGAGAACAGACAAAGTTGGTCTCTGAGCAGGGAGGCCTGTGCTGGGCTGTTCCTCTCCTGACTTGGCTTCTAGAGAATCCCTGCTCCCACCCTGCCATGTCTGAACAGGGCAGGAATCAGTCAGAGCACCACGCTGGAGCCTCTGGCCCAGGGAGCAGGAGGAGCTTTCCTTTTACATCTCAGTGATGCATTTGTGCCTTTCAGGCTAGAAATATCTAAGGATGGAGATACAAAGACTCTCCTATGTTATGGTTTTCCTTTATTCCTACATGTCTTCTTCCAAGTCCTGTATCCATTATCTGCCTCAGGCTGCCCGTGGGCGCCTGGCTGGCGAGGGATTAGCAGCTCACACACAGGCAGTGAAAATCCCTCCTTGGAGGGAAATATCCATCCATCACATAAAGTCCCTGGACCAAGACCAAGATCTCATCTGGGGTGAGGGCGTTGAAAAGGTCTCTTCTGCCATGCCGGCTGCCCACATCCTCCTGACTGCTTGGAGCATCCCTGGCAGGGGATGGAGCAGATCCCCATCCCTTCTACTGTCTCCTCCAGGGACAGAAAGTGAGTCACTTCATATCCCTGTGCAGCAGTTCTGCCACAGAAAAACACATCCTAAGAAATTACTTCGTTTTTCTTTTGGTCGAGGCCAACCGTCTGATTTGAAATACTAGTCTAGGAGAGATTGTTGATAAAGGCAGCACTGACAGAAGGAAGCACTGAGCTTCAGTAAGGAGAAGCACCAAGCATGTTCAAAAAAAAGTTAGAAATGAAAGAGGGGAAAAAAATACCAGGATTGTAGCAGTGCGAAGTTACCCAGGCACCCCAAGCACTGGTGGTGGGAGGGCTCTGCAATACACTTACCAAGTTGCTACAAGCACCACTATTGTGGAAGCCCTCCAGCAAATATTGTGTAATAATTTAATTCATGCTGTAGCACGGAGTGATTCTGACACTGGTACAACATGAAATGCCTGAAAATGTGGCTGTTTAAGGCTTTTTCCACCCCGCTGTCACCCAAGACAGGCCCAGCATGAGCCCAATCATAACCTGTAACACAACAGCTCTTGTGGAGACCTCGGCGGGTGTTCCTGCACCTTCAGAGCACAGGCTGCCAGCTGAGGGAGAACAAAGGCTCCCAGACCCAGACCCTGCTTATGAGTGGGTCGACACCCAGGGAGCCACAGAGCTCAGCCTTCCCCCACAGCAACAGGAACCGGACTCAACTGCCAGGCAGTGGAGCTCATGGCCCAAGGTTGGTGGGCCCTGAGGACAGGGAGGGCACACACCCAGCCCAATGCCTGTGGAAGACCAGGGACCCCACGGGATACCCGCCTGAGTACAGGGGGTCCCTCCAACTTCCCGCCAAGCAGGGGGGACACACAAAGCCCCACGTACGGGGCTGCCCCCCAAGGCCCAGCACTCCCAACAATGGCCTCGCGGCCTAAGGCCAGGGGGACAGGGCCCCAGCCCTGAGGACGGGGGGGCACACGCTGGCACATCACCAGCAGGATAGGCAGCCCCACAGCACAGGCACACACTCAGGCCCTGGCTACAGGTGGGTCACAGTGCCCGCACCACCACAAAGGGGCTTTGCTCCATCCTCAGGAACTCAGGAAGAAGGGGCAAGGCCAGACCCTGTCTCCACCCATGGGTTTAGAGGGCACCCCGATGTTGCTGCACAGAGCCCCTCTTTGCCTCCTGGAAAGTCTAAGCTACACTACCCTCATTTCTACGGGGGCTAAAGGACAAGCCCACTTGCTCACTCACACTGACAAAGACAAGGATGAAGATACAAAGGGGGAAAGAACGTCCCAGAAGAGGGAGCAAGCTCTGTGCAGCCAATGTGTGGGTAGCCATCCCTACTGCTGAGCAGGAGAGCAGAGCCTCAGATCCACCCCCGGGCTGCACAGGGGCCAGAGGGGCTTCAACAGGCTGAGGGGCTTCCTGGCTGGCCAAGGCACAAAGGCTGCGGCACATCCTGACTGCAGGGGGTCATTCTGGGCAGGGGCTGCCAGCACGCACAAAAGTGCCAAGGGAAAAAGCCCTACCCTGCTTACAGGGTGGGCTGGGGGTCAGGAGAGCTCCATTTCCCCCCTCAGGTGCAGAAACGGGGGCTCTCACTCTCCTTACAGGGTTGCCCCACTCTCTGGGCAACCAAAGGAGCACGATGGCCAAAGGCCAACAACAGCACAGCAAAGACCCAGCCCTGCTTACAGGGAGGTCACCCAGCGCAAAGCAAGCCGGGGCAGCCTGAAGGTGCCCACCGGACTCCTGGAGAGCAAAAATTGTTCTCTGTCTCCTGGGAACACAGGAGGTTTGTAACTCTAAACCTCATTATGCAGGAAATAATGAGGGTTCCTGGAGACAGGTGGGCAGGAGGACACCCTGGGTACTGCTCTGAGTCCCACTGATGTGGGCTGTTGCCAGTGCCTCACCTTCAGCCAGTGCTCACACGCTGTGCTGTGGGGTAAGGGCAGCAAAATAAATGAATTCATTAACAAAAGTGTTTTTCCAATTTTATCAGAGAATTCCAGACTCGTTTGGGTTGGAAGGGACCTTAAAGCCCATCCAGTCCCACCCCCTGCCATAGGCAGGGACACCTTCCACTATCCCAGGTTGCTCCAAGCCCTCTCCAATCTGGCGCCTCCAGGGATGGGGCAGCCGCAGCTTCTCTGGCCAACCTGTGCCAGGGCCTCACCACCCTCACAGGGAAGGATTTCTTTCTAATGTGTAAGAGTGAGTGCTCTGATCTAGGCTACTACTACACGCTAATGATAATGTTTAACATTTATATATATGTGTTTGGAGGAGAAAGGAAAACCTGTGGCTGAATCACTGAGATCTGAAGAACTTGGTCCTGCCTTCAGACAAGGGTGAGGCAGCCACTGAGTAAATGTCTGGGACAGAAAGAAAGGAAGGAAAACCAAGGGATCTCGTCATGCTGAGTCTGAGTCCAGGACCTGGTAAAAAGGAAAATAAATGTTTAATAGAGAAAATACAAAGTTCAAACTAGTGTGCCCAGTGGGCCCACCCAGTGTTCCCTGTCTATGCTCCAGTGCACACCCAGTTCACACAATGTATCCTCCCAGTGTGTCCAGTGCACACTCTGTGGCAAACTGGCTAGGACGGGAAGGGAGCCTCAACAAATTCTTGGGAATCCCCCAACAAACTCCTGGGAATCCCTCAACAAGCTCCTGGGAATCCTTGACAAGCTCCTGCCTGGGTCAGGGCTGCTCGCCCAGGAGGGCTGCACTGTGAGGCCACAGGTAGTTAATTAATTCAGCTTAATTAAGCTCACGATTAGAAGTGAATGATGGGAAGCTGCTGCTTTAGCCCACGAGAGGGCAATGCTTCCCGCCCAGTTGGTGGCCACGCTTGGGAAAAGTGGCTTTCTCTGTTTTTAATTAGGAATTGCAAGAGGAATTCCTTCTCTTTGGACAGTTTTCCTGAAGGTTTGGGTTGGTTGTTTTCTCACTGGGGCGTAATGCCTGACAACGTCCTCCTGTGCATCCCTATGTTACCGGCTGGAATGCGGGAGATAAGCAATAAAGAGGAGCCGAACAGGCTGGTAATCCCATCTTCTCTCCCATACAACATGCCTGCAGAGCCAGGCTGGTGGCCGGGGGGACCTGGTTGTGCCAGGCACAGCAACAACACGGCTGTGGTGATGTTGGACAAAAGATGGCCATGGAAAAAAGTGAGGAAGGGTTTTCCTGGTACTCTCAGAGCTGCTGCAGGACAGGGATGCTCTGCCAGGGTACACTCGGGCTGGAGTGATAGGTACAACAGCTTCCCCCATTTAGTTTATTTTGGAAGGGACCTTAAAGTCCATCCAGTTCCACCCCCTGCCATGGGCAGGGACACTTTCCACTAGATCAGGTTGCTCCAAGCCTCATCCAACCTGGCCTTGGCCACTTCCAGGGATGGGGCAGCCACAGCTTCCCTAGGCAACCTGTGCCAGTGTTTTTCCACCCTCATTTTCCAACTCTTCTCCCTCCTGCAGCTCCCAGGAACCTGTATTTAAATTTTAATCCACGCCCTCCCCTCCCTCTGGAGACAAATGTATTCCCAAGTGACTCCAGGATCAAAGCCGCACAAGCCGAGGCACGCCAGGCCGGTTTGGGCAGCAGACAAGCCCTTGCAGATGCCAGCCCTCCTCCTACCTCCTAAAATTCCCAGGATAGGGGGAACAGCGATGCTCCAACCGCTCCACCACCAGGGATTCTCCACCATCGCTCCAGTCCCTCGCGGACACACTTTCCCTACCTCAACCCCTTCCCAAACACCACTGGCACGCCTGAATCCACCTTGGAACAAGACAAACCGGTTTGGAATTCCGCCTGGATTAGAGATACACGAGGCGCGGTCACCTCCCAGGTGGCCACGCCCACCATTCTCCCGGCCCCGCCCCATTGGGGCGGGACGGGCCCGGAGTGGGCGGGGCCTCACCGCGATGGGCGGGGCTTCCGCGCCCGCTCCCGTCGCCCGTGGAGACACCGGGAGCGGTGGTGGGTGAGTACCGGGATAATGGGACAGAGGGGGTTCCCACCGGGAATACCGAGCTCTGCCGCCCTAGACGGGCTGCGCGGAGCCGGCGGAGCAGCGGGAAGCGGCGGCCCGACCCCTTTTTTGCTGCTGGGCCTGGCGGGGTGGGCTGGGCCCGAGCAGTGCCTGGGTGTTTTTAAGGTTTTTTTGTTTGGTTGATTTTTATGTTTCCCCCCCCCTTTTCCCTCTGTCCAGAGGGGAATTCCTGGTGGGAGGCAGCGCGCAGTTGTGCTGTGGTTCAACAAGTTGCTTGCGGTTCCGGAATGGGTCGAAATATGCTTAATTATGTAAAAACTAATCTGCTTAATTATGTAAAAATAGTACTAAAATAGGCGTTTTTCTTGAGGACGGCGTCGCACGGCCTTCCTGCCTCCTTCCCGCCTCCTTCCCTCCATCCAGCCCTTCCCCATGGCACTGATGGATACCCAGAGCTGGCAGCTCCAACTGTACCAGAGCAGCCACAGCTTTCAGATAAATCCTTTAAATTTTACCAATTTTAGTATTCCCAGCCATCAGGTGATGGGTTTTCCTCGGAATCACAGAGCTCTGCTTGACGGAGGAAGTTTCCCACCTGTGGGGAGTTGTGGGATGAGTGTGGGAAGGAGGTTAATTAGTGGGAAGCGTCATTAGTCGAGGAGGTTTCGTGTTGATACTGAGATCACACACCCAGTTGCAGTAACAAGTTTACTGAGAATCAGGGAATTGCAGAATCTCCTCAGCTGGAAGGGACCCACACAGATCATTGAGTCCAGCTCCTGGAACTTTAATAACTTTTAAATTGCAATACTTTGTTCCAAGCTTAAATTCTTTACTTTTTTGGGGGGAGGGAAGGGTTTTTTGAGTGGATATTGTGATTTTAGCCTGGTTCTTTTGGGAAGGCGGAGCCAGCAGGAGTGGCTGAAGCTGTGTCAAGGGGGAATATCAGGAAAAGGTTCTTCCCCCACAGGATGGCTGGGCACTGAACAGGCTCCCCAGGGCAGTGGTCACAGCACCAAGGCTGCCAGAGCTCAAGGAGGGTTTGGACAATGCTCTCAGGGAGAGGATGGGATTGTTGGGGTGTCCTGGGCAGGCCAGGGGTCGGACTGGATAGTCTTTGTGGGTCCCTTCCAACTCAGTATATTCCATGATTTGATTAGTGTGGCACCTCAAATGGAATTCACAGCGATTTGCCAGGGGATTATCTGGTGTTTTTATTAGCTTAGAGGTCACAGCATCAGGAACATGTTACTTGTTTGTGTTTATCTGGGCTGTAAATTGGGTTAGAAATACATTTCTGTGAGTAAAGGGTGAGTAGTGGGCAGTGGGAGGATTTGATGTTTGATGGTACTCCAGTGCCACTAAATGAGATTGAGGGATTAGTATGAAGTTAATGACTTCTCAATCCCGTATTTCATCCCGGCGTGGGATGGATTGCCGGATATCTTTAATCGAGGGCTAAAGCAACAATAAACTCCAGAGAGAGCAGTGGATGAGGTCTGGTGCTGGGGGTGAGCTTGTTTCCTAATCACTCAGCCAATGGATGATTTTTCCTTTAAAAACAAACCTCTCCTGTCATCCTGGAGGAGTTTCTTGGGCTCCCAGACAGCAGAGCCACTTCCAGCATCTCTCGTCTCTTGGTAGTATTAAATCCAAATATTGAGTTGTGCTGTAGGTTTCAGATACTTCTCTTATTTCAAATATAATGTCTCTTTGGCTATATAGTAACTTTTTTAATGAGTACTAAAAGTTCGTGATTTCCTAGGCTCTGTTTCTCAAAAGACTTGGAATATTTGAGCCAGATTTACAACAAGTTCTCTGTAGCAAGGCCTGGGATGAATTATGGAATCCCAGAATGGTTTGGGTTGGAAGGGACCTTAAAGCTCATCCAGTTCCACCCCCTGCCGTGAGCAGGGACACCTTCCACTAGACCAGGTTGCTCCAAGCCCTGTCCAACCTGGCCTTGGACACTTCCAGGCATCCGCATCCACAGCTTCTCTGGGCAACCTGTGCCAGGGCCTCACCACCCTCCCAGGGAAGGATTTCCTCCCAGTATCCCATCTGACCCTGCCCTCTGGCAGTGGGAAGCCATTCCCACTTATCCTGGCACTATCTACCCCTTTAAGAAGTCCTTGTCACTCCTTTCTGTATGGCTCTGCTTTCCCTGCAAATGTTGCTGGAATGTTGAGTGGAAGATGCTGAACACAACAGCTCTGCATGGTGGGAATGTCCTTCCTCCCCAGACACAGCTTCCCAAATCCCAATTCATAACCCTCTGATAGAATCTGTTGCAAAAGCAAGTCCAAATTGCTCCAGAAATCCATGGTACAGCCCCATAAATTCTCTCCTCAGCCCTTTCCCTTTGTCCCCTTTGCCAGAGCAGAGATCATTGCAGGGAACAGAGGGAATACTTCCCAAGGGGTGTATAGTTAGCATGGAAAACACCACCAGAGCCCTGGCCGAGGCTTGGAGCGGTATTCCAGGGAGGATTGTGTTGCTGCAACTTCATCTGTGCTTACACAAACCATGGGAGTGGGTGAAGGCTGCATGTCTCGTGTCCTCACACAGAAATACCCTTGTGCAGAAGTAGGAATTATAGTGACACTTGCATTAGCTAGGATGAAATGGGAAGCAAGTCCCCCTAGATCCTTAGGATTGTTGTGGACTCGCCGTTTCTTGGGAAATGGAAGCTGCAGATGTTTGGTGACCCTCGGGATTTGCTCCACATTAATCACTGCTGGAATTGGGCAGCTCTTAGCTGAATTTTGCAATATTACACAACTGGGTCTCGGTTTTCTAAACCTCAGTGTTCATCACATGGTCAGTGCTGGGGGCTCCTTGAGATTGGCATCAATTCTTGCTCCCAGGAATAACCTGGGGAGAAACTTGGAAGGGAAGGAGAAGAGAAAATACTGGTGAGAGAAGCAAAAAGTTTTCACTCCGTGTTTTACAAGGGTTGATGAAAAGTAGCAGAAAGAGCAGAGGCAGTTACAGAAGTCCTGTGGTGACTGGGTTATGGTAGAATTCTCCATGGTGTTTATGGAGGTAGGTAGAAGCAGGAAGGTGAAGGGAACAGTCAGGGTACCCAGGGGAGGTGGGGGCATGGTGAGGGTACATCCATGGAAGTGTCCAAGGCCAGGTTGGGCAGGGCTTGGAGCAACCTGGGCTAGTGGAGATGTCTTTAAGGTCCCTTCCAACCCAAACCAGTCTGAAATTCTATGAAAACAGACCTGGGCTGCAGTGTACCCCAAATACAAGCTCCTTGGTTCCTGAGGCCCCAGCCAGCGTGGGTGGATCAGAGCTTTAGGATGTTCATGGACACCAGCAGCTGTGTATTTTTAGTTGTGTTCCTTTGAATATTTGGTAAAACAGGCAATGTGTTTATATTCAGCTTCCTGTGTCCATATCAGTGTCTTGGCATGTGATAGAGTTACAGAGGGAGGAGGGAAAAGGAAAAAAGTGTGTTATGAGGATTATTTGTATTCCAGCCGCTGTTGAGGGCAGGATGTGGCTGCTGGGATCATCTCCTCGTTTAAACATTCAGCTCAACTCAAGCAGGAACCAGACTTGCTCCCCCTTTGTTTACAGCATTTTTTCCCCATCCCTTCTCCTGTGTCTTTCCAAACCTTCTGTACAGGGACAGGTCACTTTTTGGTACCGTCTGGTTTGGGACATACACGTGATCTGAACCTTTGTCCACCCCGACACATGGCATGAGCTCTGAGCCCTTGCTCAGTGTGTGGGTACTGATCCTCCAACACCAGCTCTCCAAAGTGTTTGGAGGTGGAAAAGCCCATCTTTGTTCTACTGGGAAGGGAGCAGCCTGCTTCCCCAGCCTGTTTCCCCAATCCAGGCTGCTCTGGCAGCCCACAATCCAATCCTATTGATGCTCTGTGGAATCACCCCTAACCATTCCTTGAGCAGGGGCAGTGGGAGCACATGGGGGAGATTTTGCCTGATTTTCCTCTCTAAATGATGGCTTTCCTTGTGCCAAAGCTTCCTCAGAGCACAAAACCAGGAAGTTTTCTGGTGGTATAAGCTGAGGAGAGCAAAATCCTCCCTCCTAGTTTCCATCATTGTGATAAGGAGATGCCCTAGGACCCAGCACTGCCCTCGCTGCCTGAACCAGGGATGATGTGAGATGTTCTCAGGAGGGACTGGTGAGTGTCATAGGAAGGGAAAAATGTGAGCTGAGAACCAGGGAAAACTGCTGTGCCTATGGAAGCTGCAGGTCTGTCTTGTGGAGCAGGAACTGCCACAGGAAGGATTGGGAAGCTCTGCAAGGAGGACTTGGTGGTGACAGGGGGTGGCCCTAAGAGGAGAGGCCTTGTTCAGCAGAAACAGCTGAACATTCTGATTGTTTATACATTGAAGTTTTAATTTGAAGTTGATTGCAGTGTCTCCAGCAGGCCTTTCTTGGGCTGTCAGTCCCTCATTGGATATGTTTAGATGCCTGTCCTCTGTTGTTGTTTGGGCTTCAGTTTACTCAGTGACTGAGATATTTGATGTATCTGTGAGTATCTTCCCAGTTCACAGACGAAAAAGAGGTTCTTTTCTGTGTCATTAATCATATTGATGATTAGCCAGAGTATTTCCAGAAGATTTCCTTTCTGTTTGTTAAAATCAAGCAGACACCAAAGGCATTTGTGCTAATTTTTGTGCCATACTGCAGTGAAGTGCAAGAAATTCAGTTCCGGGGCAGGTTTGGGTGAGATATCAGGGATAAATTTCTTCCCTGTGAGGGTGGGGAGGCCCTGGCACAGGTTACCCAGAGAAACTGTGGCTGCCCCATCCCTGGAAGTGTCCAAGGCCAGGCTGGGTGGGGCTTGGAGCAACCTGGGATAGTGGAAAGTGTCCTTGCCCATGGCAGGGGGATTGAATGAGATGAACTTTTTGAGCTTTCTCCCAATCCAGTCTGGGATTCTGTGGTTGCTGTAAGTTTGAGCAGATCCCAAATTACATTTTCATCTCTGTTTGTAGCTTCAAGTCAGACTTTTTGGTCTAAGCTTGGAGCTGGGATAAGCAGAAAGTGTCACTGATGATTTTGGAAGATGGAATATCTTTTTCCTGACTGACTGTGGTTTATGTTGCTGTAAACAACATAAGGTTTATCTTGCAGTAAACAACAAGGCATCCATCCTGCACAGCAGGGATGCTCCAGCTGGAGCTGCCTGCCAGGGCCCATGGAGCAGGAGGACTCAGGTTGATGCTGCCGGCCTTGGCTGGAGGGACTGGGAACTGTCCAGCCATGGAATTTTCTCATCTCTCTCCCACATGTCCTTCCCTGATTTATTCCTTCCCGAACATGGCCTGACCTCTGAATGCAGGATTTTGGAGGGGTGCATTACGCCAGCCTCAAACTATGCCAGCAATGTCGAGTTTGTGGGTTTTTATGACTAGTTTGATTGGAGCTTTGATTAGGCAGGAATATGGAGTCTCCGTGGCTCTGAGGAGGGAAGTGACCCCGGGAGCCAGAGTTAGTTTTCAGATGCATTTAAAGCTGGAGTTGGACTGGATCCCTGAAGGTTTCTCCCAGCCCAAACCATTCCCTCTGATCTGTGATTGTTTTGACTGTGTTTTGATCTCCCTCAGGATGCACAAGTCAGTATTGAATTTTTTCTTATTTTTCCTTAACAATTTTCAGGGTGAGTGAGCAGAATGAGAACTTGCACAGATAAGCAAAGCAAAGCAGCAGTTTTTCCATTAAACTTTGATTTTATGCAGCGGTCACACGTCTGTGAAGGAGTTTACATGTGACATTTATTTTTGTTTCCTTGCTGGATGTGAACTGGACAAGCCTGGCACAGGGACAAGGACTGGCTGTGGCAAGACAGTCTCTGTTTTAACACAATTTATTTTCCTCCTCCATACAGTGATTTTAACAGCACCTGTTAAAACTGTGATCCCGTTTCCAGCACAGGAAGTGGCATGTGATTATAAAGGGGACACTGTCTGTGCTGCCTGCCACCTCCCTGCCTTGCTAAGGACCATCCCTTGGGAACTTTTGGTGGTTTTTTTTCCTCTTCATTTCCTGGGAATGAGGGAGCTGTGTTGCTGTGGCTTCTCCGAGCCCGTCGTAGCTCGTGGTGTGACTTGGGCGGGTGTGGAGTGGTGCCAGGGCTTGGTGCCAGAGCTCCACCAGTCCTTGGCAACTGATGGTTGCTTTCCCTCCAAAGAGTGTCCGTAGCAATACTGGATCCTGCCATGCCCTGCTTAATGAGGTATCCATGCCCTGGCTCCTCTGCCAGCTCAGTAAATGCCCGGAGCCTCCAATCTGAGCTCTGCAGTGCAGGGACAGTGGGTGTATCTACAGGGGCACAGAGGTGTGCAAATGTGCAGTAGGAATTCCAGGAAAGGGGAACAGAGAAATTGCCAACCCATTTTGGATTATCAGTCACTGGATTTAGAACCTGCTGTGTATACTTGCACACCTGTGTGGGGATTGCAGTGAATGGGCTTCCAGCAGCAGCACAGCCAGGAGAGGAAAAGGAAAGATAATTTTACTTGTAAATACAGTCCCTGCTCCAGTTCCCACAGAATTCCCATCACCTTATGGTTTTTATCACCTTCACAAGCTGGGAGAGCTGAGGATGTTCATCTGGAGAAGAGAAGGTTCCAGGGAGAGCTTAGAGCCCCTTCCAGTGCCTAAAGGGGCTCCAAGAGAGCTGGAGAGGGACTTTGGACAAGGGCCTGCAGAGACAGGACAAGGGGGAATGGCTTCCCACTGCCAGAGGTCAAGGTTGGATGGGATATTGGGAAGGAATTGTTGGCTGTGAGAGTAGTGAGGCCCTGGCACAGGTTGCCCAGAGAAGCTGTGGCTGCCCCTGGATCCCTGGAAGTGTCCAAGGCCAGTTTGGATGGGTTTGGAGCAACCTGATCTAGTGGAAGGTGTCCCTGCCCATGGCAGGGGGTGGAACTGGATGGGCTTTAAAGGCCCCTTCCAACCCAAACCATTCCATAATTCTCTTTCACCTGTAGCATGAAGGCAGCCAACTTGATCTGTATTTGTGTTGTAGGGGGATGGTTTAAATAAATAACCCTTTGGATCTCGCCTCTTCAGTTGCTGGTTTCTGTTTTTGGCAATGCCAAGTTGTGCTTGTCAGGTGCCCAATTCCACTGTCATTCATGGCCAACACTCCTAAAAAATTGCTGCCTTCATTGAATTGTTGAATTGTTATAGTTAAAAATTATAATTTTTTACAATAAAAATTTAGGAATGTTGTCAAATATGGTATACTCTGGATTTGCCAGTCTTGCAACAGTGAACAGGATCTGGTAGCAGAACTTGTATGTTTTCGGACTGTTATAATTCCAGGTTTTTTTCTGGGTGTGTAAAGGCCTCTATAGGGAACATGGACTGTCAGATTTGTTTCTCCAGGGAATTAAGCCCAGCTGCTGGAATATCTCAGTGGAGGTTTACAGGTCAGAGAAGTCTCCAGGGGCAAAGTAATCCTGGAATGGTTTGGGCTGCAGGAGGCCTCAAAACTCATCCTGTTCCACCCCGTGCCGTGGGCCGGGACACTTTGCATTAGACCAGGTTGCTCCAAGCCCCATCCAACCTGGCCCTGAACTTTTCCAGGGATGGGGGCAGCCACAGGTTCTACGTGTTCTCAACACTGGCTACGGTGGTGCTTAACTAAACCTGCTCTGACTTCTACTTTGAGTAGTTAAACTCGTTTTAGAGTCAGTGGCTTTTCCAGTAGCTGCCTCTAGACTCACCTGCCCCAGGTCTGGGTGGGACCTGTCCCTCAGAACGTGGGCTCCAGGAGGAGCCATGCCGGCAGCACCCAAATCTGTGTAAACTTGTTCCCTTCATTCCCATCTGGGAGGGGGCCAGAGGGAATTGGGTGCCCGTGGCCGTGTCCTTGAGAAGGGAAGTAGGGAAACTGGCAATAAGAAAGGTCTGAGGTAGATTTTCCAGCCAGGCCAATCGCAAAATACTGTAGTTTTTGTGACTAGAATTAAACCACAAGTGCCAAACCCCCTCAGCTTTGGCTTTCTTGCGCTATGAAGTCCTTATAATTTTTATTTTACTCTGTTTCAGGATCATTACACCGATAAAATCAAAGCAAGCCGGACAGGTAGCAAGTCTGCCTATGTAGGTGAGTTTCCAGTCCACTCTTGTTCCTTCCTTTTACGCAAAATATAAAGCAGCACAACAAGTCCCAGACTCTAGCGATTTAATTTTCTTCTGGAGCAAAACAAATAGAAATACTTGGCAACTTTGTGGAGGAGAGCTACAAGGACAGCACCAGCTAGGTGTTGGCAGTACTGGTTGCTCACACTATTCACCTTGGGTTTTAACTGACTTGAATTTATGGGGCAAAACCACCTGCTTCTCCCATGGAAATTAGGCTTTTTCTTGTTTATTCCCCCAGTAAGGAAGGGGCAACATGCAAGTCTTCATCATTTCTGCCTCTGCTGTGTTACATGCATTTTGTTTGACCGTATCATCATACAAATTCTTCCTATATTCACCCCATCCTGAAAAATAGGTGCTTTGATAAATTCTTGTAACCAGGAAGCTGGTGAAATCGTTTGCACCCTTCCAGTTCTCTGAGCTGAGCCCCACAGAGTTCTTCCCAGAACATCTCCCGCCTGCGTCCTCGGCTTTATCTCTTGCAGACGAAGGAATTTGCTGAAGGTCACAGAACCTGAGGCCAAACTGCATCCCGTGACTTTCAGTCTGGAGTTTAATCACAGACCACTCCTGCTTTACATGCTGTAAGAGGAGCTGATTTTCATACAGCTAAAAGTGTCTTTGCAAATGTCTCTTAGTAGTTTGCGTGTCTTTTCTGGTGGGATTTAGCTGGGGAGTGCCCTGTGGGGAAAAACAAGGACCTTCTGTGGATAAACTGCCCTGTGGTTCATTGTCTTTTCCAATGGCTTCAGGCTGATGTCTTTAAAATAATATTGCTCAGATGTTTTTCAAAGGAACCTTGATCTAGAAGTTACTTTTCATGGCTTTCATGTGTACCAAAGATACAAGAAGTTAAGTCAGAAAAAAATGCAGAGGAAAATAAAAGCAGGTTTTTCCACTACTCATCTCCCAACATGTACATTGGGTTTGACAGAATCACATAATGAAGGCTGACTTTGAAAATCAAACGGAGCTGTGGCCCAGGTTTGATCAGCAGGATGGTACTGCAGTAACTTGTGGGATGGAGGTTATGAAGGAACACAACCTTAATTAAACACCCAGAATACCAAATCCAGTTGATTGTCTTGGGACTTGTCTGTTTCCTTACATTTCACAGTATTTTATGGTTTTTAATCTGTTTCAAAAGGACTAATTAAGATACTGACAGCATTGTTTATAACTGAAAAAAAAAGATCTCCACTGTAAAATCTCTCAGTATTCCCAAGTGTAAATTCTCTGAAAAAGGAAACATCAGAAGGTGGTGTTCTGTGTTCTAAGGGGCTTTTATTCTCCATTTGCACTGATGGGCTGCTAACCTCTGTGTAAACCAGGTGTATCTGTGTCCAGACTTCCCATTGCTAACCCAGCCCTGACTCCTGCACCTCTTCTGAGAGGAGCATGGAAGCAGAGTTTGTCCTTGCTGTAGCTTTTCTGCTGTAAAAATGGGTTTGAAATCTGGGGCCCCCGATCCCTTTGGCTGTGGTGCTGTGCACGGTGTGCATCCCAAAGCACTCACATCTTTCCCCAAGTCCTGCAGCTGCCACATGTTTTAGGTTCCCTGTGTCATAGTGTGGACTCTCCAGTACCTGAAGCAGTTAGTTTTGTCTGGGGAGGATTGTGTTTTCTTTTACCTAACTCAAACTCTTTCTACTGTGTATAAAATATTTGTGCTGTGATTTTAACTCTTGCTTGATACCTATTTAAAAATCCAGTCCTTCTCACCTGCCAGGAACCAGGGAGCTACTCCTCACAGTTTGGTTTGTGGTAGGTGTGGAGTAGGAGCAGAAAGCTTCTTCTAGCCACAGATGATCCATCCCTGATGGGAGCAGCTCCTGCAGGCACCAGAACCACGGCCTTGACTGGGGCTGTGCTGAGGGAGGACAAGGGAGCAGGAGTCTGCTACCCCTGGAGCCAGTGGGGAGGTCATGGGTGATCCCTGCCGCTGCTTTTCCTGGGAGGTTTGCACTGTGGGTGCTGTGTTCAATCTGCAAAGTGCTCAAGTGGCTCCTGGTCCTCCTGGGAAACTCTGGTGTATCCCACCACCTTGTCCATCCATCGTGTGGGGTATGAGGATCATGGAATCACAGAATGGTTTGGGTTGGAAGGGACCTTAAAGCCCATCTGATTCCACCCTCTGCCATGGGCAGGGACACCTTCCACTATCCCAGCTTGCTCCAAGCCCCATCCAACCTGTCCTTGGACACTTCCAGGCATGGAGTATCCTAAAAAGAGAAATGACCCAAAAGCATCTCTAATTCCTCTTTCATTTTACCATTCAGTTCTATTTTCCTGCAGAGGGCAGGACTCTGGTGTTTTCCAGCTGCCCAGGTTTATTTTCCATTCTCCTTGGTAGTGTGGCAAATGATTCCAGCACCCGTGTTTCCACTGGGTGTCAGCACGGCCCCATGCAGGGATCAGGCCAGCAGAGCCCTGCCAGCCCTGGGTTTTCCCTTTGGCTGCACCCACCACTGGAAAAACGAGGTTGGCTGCATTTCCAGAGCAGGGTTTTCGAGGCTGGGCTCACCCTGCGCAGGCGCCAAGGCTGAGTGAACCGGGAAGGGGCTGTTTTGCTGGAAGTGCTCTTTCCTTCTTGGAGCAGAGCAACCGGTTGGAGCAGGAGGAGTGTGGAACGTGCCTGGCTCGTTCCTGTGCTCTCTAATTAGGGTTACAGCTGGGACAGTGGGTCCCTGGTTCTGGCAGAGCAGCGTGAAGAGCTTTTGTAGTATTTATGGTGTTTACGTGGAAGGTATAGGTGTGATAAGGAGCGTTCTCAGAGAGTGGCTGGGGGGACACGCGTGCAGGGTCGGGAGCTGCTCACCCTCCTCCCTCCATGCCAACCCTTCCACTTCTTTTCCACACTTATTGCACATCTAGGCTTCCCAAGTCCTTCGCAAAACCCTCGGGCCCGCTGCCTGTCCTGCCAGGCTGAGGTACCTCCTTCAGCTCCTGACTCCGTCCATGTTGGGTGGGAAGCAGCACCCTCCAGGGGTTTGGGTTTGGGTTTCAGGTGGGCAGAGGCATCCCTGGATACTTCTCCCTCTCACCTGCTGCTACCATCAGGGACCCTGTGCCTCTCCCACCCTCCCTGTGGGTCACCTCGTGCCAGGTGCCACTGTGTTCCGGGGTGTGCAGGATCTGGGAGGGGACATGTCAGCACTTGCTGGGACGCCAAATGCTCTGCGGCACATGTTGGCAGAAGGCAGTACCAGGCACACTGAGATTCCTCTGACACATTCTTCCATTGGAGATCTAAATATTTAAAAATCAAGTCCAGAAAGTATCACAAATACAGATTATTTTGATGCTTGTGTGCAGCTCTTTCATCCGTTGCTGTACCTGGTTGTGCTCTGATGTGCCCTCAGAATGGATTGGTTTATTTCTGCAACCTGCTTTTAATGTCAGCATTGGCCTCTTGGCTTGGACTGGGAGAGTTTTTGGGTTCTGCAAGTTGTAACAAACCTGCTCCTGAGCACCCTGTAGTAAAACCAACCTCCACCATTCAAGTCCCAACCGGCCTCCAGCCCTCCTGCTCCCACACAAGCTCCTGGGAAAGTGGCACGTGCAGGAACCCACTAAAACCTTACCTCATGTCCTGCCCCTGCGCATGGGAGAGGTGCTGGAGAGAGGCTCTGGCATCAGCCCCTCCTTATGCCACCCCTCCAGGGGCCATCACGGCTCTTCTTCCCCGCTCTCCATGAGGACTGGCCTTGTCTGGTGCCTCTTCATGCTGTTTGCAGCCCCTCTTCCTCCTTCCAGCCACCTTCCTGCCCAACAAATCTCTGCATTTTCAGAAGCAAAATTGACTTCGGAGCTTCTGGCTTTTTATTCCTGAGAGCTCTGGGGAGTGTGAGCCAATAAGAGGAGGCAACTGGATTTGGGGTTCCATGGTGTGTTATTCCCAGATTGTTTGCAGGGTCCCAGCTGAAGGCAGAGTGGGGAAGGGATGCCAGGGAGGATAGTGTGGGGAGTAAAATGGTTTTCAGGCAGGGCTGTGGGGCATCAAGCAGAGCCTGTACTAGTGGTGGTGATACACAAATCAGATACAGCTTAAAATCCTTCCAGCAAAGATCAGGGAGGTTGCAGGACTGGGAACAGTTTCACTTGTAAGCCAGCAGAGTTCTTTGTGGAATCGCTGAAACCCTAAACACAATGTCCTGAGGTACCATGTGATGGTGGGTTTGGGGCAGAAATGCCAGCTGGCACCTCTGAGCAGCTCCTTAGGAAGTGTTTGCTTCCCTGTGTTGGGAATAGAGCAGCAGCCATGCCTGGCATGAGCTTCCCCCCAGCTCAGAGCAGGGAATGAGCTGGAGCAGCAGTTCTGGACTTGTCCGACTGCTTTTGTCCTTCTTTTCTTCCCCCGTTCCTGTGTTTTTAGGAAAAGCAGAACAGTTTCCATGGTTTATCCAACAGGCTCAAGTGGGCAGCATCATCCAAACATTCCATGTGGGAGCAGCAGCAGTGGTGACTCCCTGGGGTGCTCCCTCCCTGTCCCATGGGCAAGGCACCTGAACCAAGGGTGAGGAGGGATCACAGTGGGGTCAGGAGTCACCCTGAAGGCTCATGTCCTTCCAAACAAGGATTTAGAACACCTTGTGTCCTTCTTTTCCTTCTGTTTCCTTGCTGAATTTGGAGCCTGCCCAGCCCAGAGGCATTTCCACCTCACTGCCCTGTCCTCCACAAGCAGGACTGTGGCTCTGAAAACGGAGAGGCCTTTGAAATCTGCATTTACAGATTAGCTGTAACTTTAGATCCGTGCTGACCCCCAGCTGTGGGCTGACACCCTGGAAAACCAGAGGTTGGAAAACCAGCAGCTGATGGAGTACCTTGTACGTGCTGTAGTTGTCAGTTTATGTTTTGTTCAGTCCACTCTATGGATTTACAGTTTTTAGTTATTCACCTTAAAAGCTGTTTTATTTCAAGAGAAACAGTAACAAGACACCCTTTCACCCTTTTGAGCCTTCGGCACTCCAGTATGGGCTGGCTTTACATAACTGGAGCAAACTGGGAGCTGTTTGCCAGGCAGAGCTGCTGGGAGATTCTCGGCCGTGCTTTATCAGTGGTGATTTAATTACCTGTCACTCTGCAGGTGCTGTGTAAGTCCTGGATCTAAAAGAGTTAAAAAGATAGATTGAGATTTAATAATCCCATTGGAGCTGAAGTTCAAAGCTCAAGACGAGGTGGATCTGGGGACCTGCTGCATGGTCATGTCATTACCTAAAGCCTGTGGAAAGAAACAGGACAAGGCCTGGAAAAACAGGGGTTTTCTAGGGAAGAGGGCAGCTCCACCCATTTGCAGGTATTTCAAGGAAGGAAAAAGCGCAGGTGTGTGGCCTTCAGGAATTACGCTGGAGGAGTCATGTGTTTTTCCCTTTCACTGGCAAAGTGCAGTTGTTGAGCATCCACCTCATCTGAACAAACACTGGTCTCAGTTTTCCATGGATAAATTAGGAAGAAATTCTTCCCTGTGGGACTGGTGAGGCCCTGGCACAGGTTGCCCAGAGAATCTGTGGCTGCCCCGTCCCTGGAGGTGTCCAAGGCCGGGTTGAACGGGGCTTGGAGCAACCTGGTCTAGTAGAAGGTATCCCTGCCCATGGCAGGGGGTGATGGCCAAAGAAGCTGTTGGGTAGACTGATTCTTTTGTCTCATTTTAGTTTGTGAGTCAGAGACAAGTGAGAATTGCCACCATGCCCACAGCTGCTCTGGGGTTTAGGAATCTCTGTCACCACCAACCTTGGATCCAGCAAACCTTCGTTCAGCTTTGTCACCATAAAATCATGGAATGGTTTGGTTTGGAAGGGACCTTAAAGCCCATCCAGTTCCAACTCTGCCATGGGCAGGGACACCTTCCACTATCCCAGGTTGCTCCAAGCCCTGTCCAACCTGGCCTTGAGCACCAGCTGTGTTTTGTCTTAGGTGGTGAGTGGAAAAACTTGTTGGAAATTTATTTTGGTCCATTTAGCACAGAATGAATAGTCATGACTGTGAGTGCTGGAACAGGAGAAATCCTGATGGGAAAGTATTGGAATGAGTCAGGCTCTTGGGATATCTTTGCTTTTGACTCAGCCTGCTGAGCATGAGGATTCGCTTCCTAGAAATCGGAGCGGTGCCCTCTCCGACCGCACGGTCATTTCTTTAGAGAGTGACTTCATTCTCTTGGGAGACTTCCCTACCTCAGAAAACCTTACCCACAGCTCCAAGGGCACAAACACCCAAGTTCTGCAGAGCTGTGGACACCACCAATTTAAATCTGAGGAGTTTTCTGAAGTCCAGTGCATCCTGGGAGAAATCCGGTGGCTCCAGGAGGCCACAGCAGCTCGGATCAGTTGCCAGGAACTCAGAGGGAAAACAGTATTATTGGGTGCTGACCTAGTTGTTTGTAAATCTCTCTGTAAAAGAGATTTAGTGATCTTAGGAGGAGTATTAAGGCTTGTGTTTGTTTGAAGATGGGGAAATACGGCAATTTAATTTTCAAATGTTATGGTTTGGGTTGCGTTTTCTCTTTTTTTTAAAAAAAAAATCTAATTTATTAACAAAGCTAACCAGCTGGGAAAATAAGCACTGGAACTTTCCTAAGGAGGTCATCCATGGAGATTGGAAAGGGATCCAAAGATTCAAACCTCTCCAGTTGAAAAAAGGGATTTGGAGCTGGGGAAGGGAACACTGGTCTTGCCCCAGTAAAACAAGAGAAGAATGGTTTATCTTTTAATTTTGCAATAATTTTTTAAACCCTATGTTTATTTATTTTTTATAAAAGTACTAAAATTACAGGAATTAGAAAATCCTGAGCTATCTTCTCAGAGCTGCATGCATTACTTGATAAAAATTAATTGCTTTGGTTTGGGTTTTTCACACCACAGTTTTTCAATATAGTAAGTGAAAACTGCAGGGACTAAATTAACCCAGTGCTAAATGTCCAAGGCCAAGCTGGACAGGGCTTGGAGCAACCTGGTCTAGTGGAAGGTGTCCCTGCCCATGGCAGGGGGTAGAACTGGATGAGCTTTAAGGTCCCTCCCAACCCAAAGTAGTTGGGATCCTATGATTCCACAAGTGCTTTGTCCTGGGCTAAACCCGTGCCGTAGCGGGAACGCTACAGAGGAAAAATTCTGTTGGCTTTTTGAATTTTGAATTCCCTCCCATGGGTGGTGAGCAGTGAATCCTTTGTGACTCACTCCATAGGTGACATCTCTGGAGCACAACCTGGGGGATATTTTTGGGCCGTGAGGTCTTTGTGGGGAGCTGGGGCAGCACAGGACTGACGCAGACCAGGGGTCAGGTTGTTACAGAGGTGGAACATCCATGGATCCACATGGATCTGCAGGAGCATGTTCTTAATATTTGCTTTAGGAAATAAGTTTTTATTGATACCAAATGTCAGGTGTGAATGTCCCTCCTACCTGAGCCTGAGCAGGTGGTGTTACCTGTCACTTAGCAATTCCTCTGCCCAAAGCTTTTCCAAGAATTTTCCCCCCAAAATGGGGACTCAGAGCAGGATAATGCTGTTCCCAGTTAGCTGGGCAGGCATGGGCACTGCCTGGAAAACACCCCTGCTCCCCAGGCTGAGGTGAGAGAAACCTGAATCCTGCAGGAACCGCTGTGGGCAGCGCTTGGAAAGGTCACACAGAGTCATGTTGGACTCAGGTCACTGTATTGCCATACATGATTCAAGCACAGCCCCATGGAGCCAATTTTCCTTGTGGAGCTGTGGAAAACAAGCAGCAGGGTTTGTGCAGAGTCCTCTAGAGACTGTGACACAGGGCAGTGACATGGGCAGGGCTGGTCCAAACAGGCTCTCTGGGTACCTGGAGACCTGAATAACTTGGAATCACAGGCTGGTTTGGGTTGGGAGGGACCTTAAAGCTCCTCTTGTTTCACCCCCTGCTGTGGGCAGGGACACCTTCCATTAGACCAGATTGCTCCAAGCCCTGTCCAGCCTGGCCTTGGACATTTAGCACTGGGCTAATTTAGCACTAAGCTCTTGGCTGCTGCAATGCCTGTAGGGATATCCTTGGGAATGCAATGCTGCACAGTCCTCAGTCCCTCCATGGGCTGCAAGTGGGTGTCTGCTCCACCATGAGCCTCTATGAAACAGTCAGGGATGCTGAGATCAGCCTGTGCTATGGATATTATTTCTTCACAGAAATGGCTGTCTGGCCCTGGCACAGCTGCCCAGGGCAGTGGTGGAGTCCCTATCCCTGGAGGGATTTAAAAGCTGTATGGATGTGACACATGGGGACATGGGTCAGTGGTGGCCTTGGCAGTGCTGGAGGACAGTTGAACTCGATGATCTGAGAGGGCTTTTCCAACCTAAATGATTCCATGGTTCTATCCTGGCTCACTCCTTGCTCTTTGGTGGGCTCAGGAGCAAGTCTCCTTCCATGTGCTCAGGGAAGCACATGGATCCTGGTACACACTGGGCTCTCCTGGAAGCCCATGGGGAGCTGCAAATCTGTGCTGCCAAAGCTGTGCTGGAATTTTTGCCAGACCAACCATGGCTCTGCCCATCCTCCTCACTGCCACTGGCTCAGCCAAGGGGCAGAAACCTGCACAGAAGCTCCATGGTTTTTTTTTGGAGGATGTTTTACTTCCAGAGCTGTTTCTCAACTGCCTGGTCCTGTTGAGTGTCCTAATGACAAAAAAAAAAAAAAATGCCCTTTTTGCAGTGTGTCGTGGATGCCTCTGTGTAAAAGCTGTTTAAGGTGCTGTGCCACCTTCTGGAAAAATAACCCACTGTCTTTTCAAACAGAACTTCCCTGCTCCACTGAAAATGTCTGGCAAAACAGCCACCACGACCAACAACATTGCTCAGGCCCGAAGGACCGTGCAGCAGCTCAGGATAGAAGCCTCAATAGAGAGGATAAAGGTGACAGCACATCCTTCCTCACCCCTCCTTTCTTTCCTTGTTTTTTTCCCATTCCAGCTGTAGGACAACATAAACAAAGTGTGTGTGTGTCTGTGCACCCACAGCTCAGTGATTTTTTCCCATTTCAAAATGTGACATCAACATTTCAGCTCAGCAAATGTAAATAAATCCAGTTCTTGTGGCCCAGTATCCCATCTAACCCTGCCCTCTGGCAGCAGGAACCTTCTCCCCCGTTTTCTTCCCTGTCACTGCAGGATAGATGAGAAATTCCTCATTACAACCCACTGTATTATTTTGAACCCCCTTCTGTTTATTCCCAGTTTTCTGTGTAGGAGCCAGATGGAACCTTTACCTGGTGCCGCAAATGAATCCCAAAGAGCAGTGGGGTCCATCCTTTCCTCCTCCCTGAGGATGAAGCAAGGAGACAGAATATGTCTATCTCCAAGTACCTCTCCCATCCCTGACAGGGACTCTGTACCCATCACAGCTCTCAGCACCTTTGATCCTGTTCCCATGGGAAACTCTGTTCTCTGTTTATTTTTCCCTGTCTCCTGCAGGTGTCCAAAGCCTCGGCAGACCTGATGCTGTACTGTGAGGAACACGCCAAGAAGGACCCGTTGCTCATGGGCATTCCTGCTTCTGAGAACCCTTTCAAGGACAAGAAAACCTGCATTTTGTTATAGGAGAGGGGCAACTCCTCCCCAGCCCACCTAGGCAAGGCCAAGCACCAACACTCCGTAAGGTCCCAGCCGTTCCCTGGCTCGGAGCGGCTGCTCTTTTACCATGTGTCTAAGTCCTTAAGCTTTCCAAAGCGTTCCTTCTGATCCTTATCTTTATTAGGAAGCTGAATTCATGTCTTTCCTGGACAAGGGAATGGGAGCAGCACTGGGGTCTCTGCACAGGGGGGTCCTGGTTGCATTTGCCAAGTCAAACAAGACCAAAGTTGCCTGAGCTTTGCTGATAAAGCAGAGGCCAAGTCGTAGAGATCTGATGAAACATCACTGGGTTTACATTTTTTTAAATGATTAATTTTTTTGGGGGGGGGTGTGCCTGTGCTGGCAGCACCAGTTCGTGCACAGGTACACTTAAAGTGCATTTTCTAGCAAAAAAACTACCTTGCAAAATGATTGTAGCAGCTGCTGAGGAGCTCCAGGAAGCTGTGCCACAACGTTCCTCCTGCTGGCCTCTCTTCCCAGTGGAGAGTTGAGAATCAGAGACCTGCAGATTGCTTTTTCTGCTTTTTAAGAGTTGAAAAAGCAGAATTTTCAGCTTGGATTCTGCTGCTCTGCATTTTCCTCTCTAATTTAAAATCCATGTTAGTATAAAAACCATCCTGTCAAAAGAATGGAAGTCTGGAACTGCCCTGGCAGGAAAGAATGCTGCCCTCACTCACAATCCCTGTCACATTCTGTGCAGGGAGTCAGAATTTGACTCTTTTTTAAAAAAAAATTCATTTTTAAAGGGGAAAAATGCCAAATTATATTCAGCTTGTGGTTCTGCATTTATAATTGGAGGGCCTTTTCATCAAGTATATATTTTATATATACACATAATAAAAAAGTCTTTCTTCATGTGCCTGTGTATATATATATATACATAAACTTTGTATTTATGCAAATATTGCATATTAACAGCAAATTTGGAAGGGTTTGAAAATAATACTGACTTCAGTTGGCTGCAAATGTCCTTTTCTGCATCCTGCTGAAGTTGTGATCTGCCATAACTGCATTTCTGTGAGGATATTTACAGACTTTATTAACTACTTGTCATTTATGTTGCATATTTGTCATTTCTATATGAAATTATAGACCCACTATTGATATATATTGAGAACTTATATCTTTGTTTAACAAGGCTCTTTGACAAAGAGCTCCAAAATCAGCCTGACAGAGAATTGTGCTGCTTATCCTGTTCCTACGTGCAGATTATTTTTATAGAGTATTTTTCTAGAGGCAGTTGAAGAAAACAATAATGTAGCTCCACACTGATTCTTTTTTATTGTGTTTGTGTCTATCATTTTATCACACACATAGGTAGAATTAATGAGCTCAGTTAATTACTCAGTTTGGGGTTTCAAGGCTGTAGCTGTTGAGAATTCCAGCTGTGCCCAGAGGTAGCCAGGCAGGTACATGGGGTGCAGGGAGGGAAAGAACCTCATACTGTTACCTGATTATTGTCTTCCCAGCAATCTGGTGTTCCCACAGGAATCTGTAGGTTTATTTGGTTAGAGATCCCTGCTCCCAGCCCAAAACCAGCTCCCCATTGTGGCTGCAGGGGGGCTCTTTGTGTCTGCCTTCTTTGTGTCTGCCCTTGAATAAAGCTCACCATGGGGGCTGGGTGGTGATCCAGCTCTGGGACCCTGGATTGTGATCAAAATGTGGGGCCCTGGTGGGTGATCCAGCCGTGTGATCCAGCCAGAAATCCAGCAGTGAGACTCTGGTGATCCAGCACATCAGCTTGCATCTGACAGCATTTAATCTATAGATATTCGGTGAACTCACTATTTTTTATATATAATATATAGGGACATGTGAAATCTGGAGCTGTTACGTTTGCATTTTGCTTTTTGCTGTAAGTATTCCCAGGACAAACCCTAGGAATTGTAAAATTTAGGGAAAATACAGCCTCTGTTCTTGTAGAATTTTTTAAAAAAGGAGAAATGAGGCTATCCACAGGTATTGAGAGAAACCTGTGGGGTGCCATGGGGATGCCCCACCGTGCCGCATTGCCGTGCCACCCCACTATGGTGCATCGTCATGCTGCCTCTCTCTCCCCTTGGCCAAGCTGGCTGATTTTGGGGAAAAAAACAAGCATTTGGGTGCATGGCTGTGTGCTGGGCCATGTGCGCTCAGGTCCACCCAGAGGTCTTGGCCAGTTTGTAGTGTGGGGACGGGGGCTGAAGGGGTGCCTGAGAGAAATCAGGGGTTCAGGGGGGGTTGGATTGAGTTTGAGCTCGGAGAAACAGCAAATATGGTGATGCTGCTCCTGCAGCGTCCCAGGGCACAGGATGGCACCTGCCTGGTCCTGAGCTACGCGCCGGACATGGATAGGGATGGGTGGCCTTGGGCCAGAGTGTCTGGGAGTGGGAGAACTGGTCCAGCCTCACCACCTGGCTAGGCTGGCACCGATCCTGCTGGGGCTGGGGACACTGACCCGCCGGTGCCACTGCTGTGGGGTCACACACGTGCCGTTAGGGATGTCCAATGTGGGTCAGTGGTGTCCCCGTGGCCTGCCCTCCGGGCACTGCTGGCAGCGTGGGCAGGAGAGGCTGTTCTCCTGCCACATGGAGAAATCCCTGCTGTGTGCCAGCCTGGAGTTGTAATTACAGAGAAGCCTGGCACAGAGACCTCCCAACCCCGGTGGGCACGGGCTGTGCTGAGGGTGCATAGGGGAAAAATCCAGGAGCATTTGCAGAGTCTGTGGTGCAAGGAAACATCAGGTCAAGTTTTCCTCCACCAAGGAATCAGGTTTCCCCCCCCTTCCAAGAAGACTCAGGTGCTGCAGGAGTGTTGGAGTTTCTGCAATAAAGCTGCCTCTTTCTTAGCTCCTGTTGTTGCAGCATTCAAGCAAAATAAATAAATAACATTCCCAACATTTCCTGCAGCACATCAGCTGCTTTGGCATTTAATGGCTTGGGAGGAGCTGGGAATAAACCCACACAGAGCAGCACAACAGGACCTTGCCCACTGCCAGGACAAGGAAGCAGCTGCTGCTGAGCCGTTTTGCCTGTGCACTAATGGAGCAAGGAAATAAAACTCTGGGCCAAAGGTTTGATTGGAAACTTTATTGCAAAAAAAAGAAAACACAAAACAGAAACACCAAACCCCCCCAAAGAACACTCAAATTTCAAACAATTATATTAATGTTGCTGCTTTTGCAGCCAACTGGTAAGAGATTTGTGGTTGCAGACCAACGGCTTAAGGGCATTTTGGTTCTCAGACCTCCAAGTATAAATAATTTTCCCATCGATATCAGAAAATAACTTATTATTATAATTATTATATATCTTAGCATAAAAACATGAGAATTAACATCCCAAAAATACAATAACATTGTTGGCAAAATGCCTCGATTTTTGCTCTTTAAGGTGTTTAAAACAGGAATTTTAAGTTGCACTTAAGGATAGAAAGTGAAGGGTATTTTCGGCGAGGGACATGAGCACCCCTGGTATGTCAGGCTGGGCTCATCCTGCCACTTTTCCTTCACTTCCTCACTCATTCCCACTGCTCCGGCATCGCTCTGCTCCAGCCCCACACAACACGTCGCTCCACTGCAGCCAAACCCCCCCCCGACGTCAGTTTTAGCTTTTATATTTTTTGTTGGGTTTTATTTTTCCTCCCCCGGAATCCCAGTGCCAGGGCAGGGAGTTACTTCCTGAGCAACTGCGAAAGTCTTGCAACACTCCAGTGCAATCGGGATCGGGACGGGCTGCAGCGGTCACCGCTCCGGGAGGTTGATCACCGGCACCCACTGATCCAGGTACCGGCTCTCCCGGCAGAAACACATCAGCTGACTCAGCGCTGGATCCTTCCACTGCGAGGCCTGGGGGTTCTGGAAAGGGAATGGGGGAAGGCTTGGACACGGCAGCAAAAACAGCCTGCGCAGGGCAGTAGGGGGGAAAAAAAAAAGCACAGCAGAAAGTCCAGGAGTGTGAATCATCTTAAATTGCCACCGAGGCAAACAAACAAGTCAAGCCGGGAAGCATGTGAGGAGTTTTGTAGTTTTGGACTCTGGGACAGAGGACGGAAAGGAAAAAAAAAGATGGCAAGAAAAGGGGAAGAAATGGAAAGAAAAAGGGGAAAAAAGAAGGGAAGAAAAAGGGGGGGAAGAAGGGAATAAAGGGGGGAGGAGGGAGAAAGAAAAAGGGGGTAAAGAGGGAAAGAAAGGGGGAAAAGAGGGGAAGAAAAAGGGGGGAATAGGGAAAGAAACGGGGAAAAAAGGAAAGGAAGAAAAAAGAGGGAAAGAAAGAACAAACTAAAAGAAGAAAGAGGGGAAAACAAAGGAGAAAGAGGGGAAAAAAAGGAGAAAGAGAGGAAAATAAAGGAGAGGGAAGAAGGACCCCGTTTTCCCTGGGGCATGGGAAGCACCGCGCAGCCCCCGGTGCGGGCGCGGTGAGTCTGCGGGTTCGAGCCCCGGGCACGGCGAGTTGCGGGGGGTCCCGACTGTCCGTGGGGGCCCGTCCGTGCCCCCCGTGCTCACCGTGACGAGCACGCAGTGCAGGTCCGCGGGCGGGTCGGGGCCCGCGGCGGGCAGCAGCAGCTGCGCCAGGCGCGCCGGGTTGCTGACGCGCAGGATGTTGATGTCGTTCTCGCAGCAGAAGGCCCGCAGCAGCGTGAAGTGGATCTGCAGCGCCGCGTCCCCCGCCTCCTCCTCCTCGGCCGCCAGCAGGCACAGCACCACGTTATCGGGGTCCCTGAGGGGAAACCGCCGTCACCCGGAGGGGACACCGGGCAAGGGGGAACGGGGCCAAAGGGGGGGTCACTCACACGTTGAGCAGCTTGGCCGCTTCGTAGACGCCGAGGGTGAGGCTCCGCTGGCTCAGCGCCTTGCTCAGCACCTCCTCCAGCGCGTCCCCCGCCTGCTCCATCCTGCGCCGGGACAAACGCCCGTCACGGGGACCCCGCACCGCAGCGATCCCCGCACCTCCCTCCGCCCCCCCCCGGCCTCACCTCCCGGCGGCACGGCGCTCCCCGGGCAGCTCCTCCAGAGTCATCACGGGGCCGCGGGGCAGGGACGGACAGGGGGACACGGACACGGCGACAGGGACAGCCCCGTCCCCGGCGTCGCTGCGGCCGCTCCGGCCCCGCCGCCCGTGCCGGACAAAGGCGCCCGGCGCGCGCTGCCCCTGCCGCGCCCCGGCCAACCCGCACCGCCGCGATTTGCATATCGTCCTTCTATTGGGTTATGCAAATGAGCCCCCGCCCCCGCGTTGCCGAGCCCGGCCGGGCCTGACCCCGCTCGGCGCCGGGAGCCGGGACAGGGAATAGTTTGGCATGGGAGGGACCTGAGACCGACTCGTTCCACCCCCTGCCGTGGGCAGGGACACCTTCCACTATCCCAGGTTGCTCCAACCTGGCCTTGGACACTTCCAAGGATGGGGCAGCCACAGCTTCTCAGAGAAACCTGTGCCACGGCCTCACCACCCTCACAGACAATTCCTTCCCAATATCCCATCTGACCTTGTCCTCTGGCAGTGGGAAGCCATTCCCCCTTGGCCTGTCCGTGCAGGCCGTTGTCCAAAGTCCCTCTCCAGCTCTCTTGGAGCCCCTTTAGGCACTGGCAGGGGCTCTAAGTTGTCCCTGGAGCCTTCTCCGGGTGAACACTCCCAGCTCTCTCCAGAGCAGAGGGGCTCCAGCGCTCAGAGCATCTCTGTGGCCTCCTCTGGACTCGCTCCACACCCTTCTGCTGTTGTTACCCAGAGCTGGAGGCAGCATTGCAGGTGGGATCTCACCTGAGCAGGGCAGAGGAGCAGAATCCCTCTGCAGATGGATGCAGTTGTCTGTTTTCCCTGCCTCCACAGGGATTGCACTCTTGCCATTCCCCTTCTAGTGAACACCAGCGCTGTCAGAACACAACCTCACTAACCTTTGAATCCTCCCCACACACTGCTAGGAAACACCCAGTGCAGTCTGTGGCACTGGCAGTGGGGAAAGTAAACAATCTCTTGACGTGGTTTTCACCAGGAATGTGCTCCAGGGATCCCTCAGCACAATGGTACCAGCAGGACTTAGCAGCTTCCGACAGCGCCAGCACAGCTGCAGTTCTGCCAAAAGTGAGCTGGCGAGATGGGAGACAGCCTGGACCCCACTTCCACAGGGGGATAGATTTAGATTGGATATTGGGAAGAAATTCTTCCCTGTGAGGGTGGTGAGGCCCTGGCACAGGTTGCCCAGAGAAGCTGTGGCTGCCCCATCCCTGGCATTGTCCAAGGCCGGTTTGGATGGGGCTTGGAGCAACCTGGGCTAGTGGAAGGTGTCCCTGTCCACTTTGTAGTTCTGTAATCTCGCCCTAACCAGGCCTTTTGCAGGTTTCCAAGAACTTGGTGTTTCTCCAGGAAGTTGCCTCTGCACCATTTGGCCTCTCTCAGCCCTGCAGACCTCTTGGGAGGATGTCTTCTGACGGACATGATGTCAAAGCTTTTTCAGCTGTTGCCCCTAAAAACCTCCATCCTCCCGTGGCTGATGCCAAAACTCTTTCCCAACCCGGCTGTGAGCTGGCTCAGTCCCACTGGCTCCAGCGGAGCAGGGCTGCAGCTGGGACCCTTTGGGGTCCCTCACAGGGCTTTTGGCAATGTGTGCTTCAAAGCTTTGCTCGCGTCGGTGTTTTACTTTGGCTCCAGAACAGCAGGAGCCGTTTTTCAAGGCAGTGTTTGCAGAAGCACAGCTTTGAGTGCTGTGAGAGTGATGCAGAACCACCTTCCGTGCACCACTTGCAGAATAATTTAATTACCATTTGGAAAACAAGATATTATAGAATCATGGAATCTTGGAACAGTTTAGGTGTGGAGGGACCTTAAAGTCTATCCAGTTCCACTCCTTGC